AATACTAAAACTATCTACAAACAATACTAAACTAATATCAAAATAAAAACAAATAACAAAAAAAAATACAAAAAAAAGAAAGTCAAGTAATATCAATAACATTATCCTTTCCTTAAAATATGAGCTCCTGCGAATATTTTAAAACTCGTTGAGAATAGTAGAATTGCTGGCTTCTTCTAAGTAAGCACGATAAGCTTCTTGTTTTAGCATCTCAAAATCAGAGTCATACATACGAGCTAAGACCCTGTAATTTATCTTTTCTGCTTGGTACAGATTCCAGATTTCTTGAGCATTGTATAGCTCAAAGGTCCTTTTAGCTACTCGAAATACTTCAGGTCCTTTTCGAGAGCCAACTTCTTGTATTAAAAGGTTTAAGGTATTCTCGCTTCAACTTCTTATACAAAGAAGTTTACCAAGTTGATAGCACCATTCTAAAGATCGATAAATAGTCTTATCTTCATTCTCGAAGTGTTTAATCTTCTTGCAAATAGATCTTTCCAGGAATAGCCAAAAACTTCTACTATGTCTTGTAGGCCAGCACTTGTAATAGGTTTTTGAAAGTCCTTGATATATAGAGGCAATTTTTGTCGAATCTTCTGAGTATTAGTAAGCTTCAAAGAGGCTTGCATTACTTGAGTTTTGCTTTGATAAATAATTTCTTTGGAAGTAATTATCATAATTGAAGTTGGATTCAATTTTTGTAATTCATGTTGAGTTGTTCAGCCATTAGTCTTGTTATTCCAGGAAGTTGGGCCATTTTTTTCTTGGTTTCTTCTTCTTCTAAATCTTCTTGGTTTGGGTTCTTTTTTTTTTTATACCAAAAATATATCAAAAATAACACAAAATTACCAAATATAATACTACATGCTTCAACCTTATTTTGACTAATTGTTCTCAGTATAATGTCCAAAGAAATAAACAAAAATAAAAATAATCTAAAAATAAAATAAACAAAGAAGCAAAATAATAAAAAAAAGTATTATATGCTCCATCACCCACATATGATCGTCACAATCCTCTACTATAACATTGTGCCTGACAAAAGTAATAAACAGAATACAAAAATCTAGAAAATAATATCAAGGTTTTTAACTAAATTAAGCATATTGTTGAAGAAGTTTTTTTTTTTTTCGTTAAAATTTCTATTATATATATATATAATAATAATTTTTTTTTTTTTTATCAACTTCAACAATAAATAACCAATAATAATAATAATAATAATACTAATAATAAAATGCCTCGTACTCGTATCTCTCGTGCTATTCGTCGTACTCGTCGTAATGGAAATAAGGCCCTCTATGAAGCTCTTTGTGAGGTGCAGGACCAAAATAGAAGGTAGATATTTATAAATCTTTATAAAAGCCTCAAATAAGATATTAATTTGTAATTTATATTAGGTTGTAGCATGAAGTCAGGTCCTTAAAAAGAAGAGTTGTGTTGTTGGAAGCAGAGTTGGAAGAGATTTGGTTTTGGGATGCAGAGTCAGTAAAAGAAAATTGGAGAAGAGATGAGGAGCATTGGCAAGTCATTCAGGAGAAAAACCAGTTACGTGTTTGGCTTATTGAGTTGGAGAGTCGTATAGATAATATAAATTTGGATGAGGAGTTTGATTTTTAAAATTTTTTTTTTTTTTTTTTTATATTGTTGTTTTCTTTTTTATATTGTTGTTTTCTTTTTCATATTGTTGTTTTCTTTTTTTTTTTTATATTGTTGTTTTCTTTTTCTCTTCTTTTTTTTTTTTTTTTTTGTATATATATATATATCTTAGTGTTTTTAAAATTTTAATAAAAATAAAATAAAAAAAAAGCAACCATCTAGATATTTCAACTAAGGGCCACACTGAACTTGGTATCTAGCAGGTAGCTCCCTTAGCTAGTCTCGAACCCGGGTCTGTATAATGATAGCCCTTAGCCGTAACTGTTACCATATTTAGATAATATTAAAATTTTTTTTTGCTACTCCTTATAATCGTTAATTTAAATAATGATCTCTCTAATCATAATGCTTGTTTTCACGTGAAGCCTATTTATAGAAGATCATTAATGATCTAGCCATATCTAAGCTTCTATAATAACTTGTAGTATCGGTAGTGGTTTTTGATAATAAAGTTTTAATCGGTCACCGTTTATAGATTCCTTAAGTACTTTTCGGTCTAATATTCGTAACTTGTATGCTCTATTGCTTAAAACTTCATGAACATAGTAAGGTCCTTTCCATGGGTCTATTAACTTTTTTCTTTCTTTTAACTCGCTTCAATATAACAAAACAAGATCCCTAATCTTATATTTAATTATTTCTTTTAAATTCTGATCATGTCTCTTTTTTTGGTACTTCTGAGATCTTTTAATATTTTTTTAAGCTTGTATACGATCTTCTTGTAACTTTCCTATTAATTGATATATTCTTCGCAATAGAGTTTCCTGCTCATCTTTTCCTTTCTCTTGAAATACATGAGTTTCAACTTGAAATTCTACTGGCAAGATGACTTCTTGTCCATAAGTTAAATAGAAAGGTTCATGCTGAGTTGTATTATGTTTTATAGTCCGATAAGCAAATAGCGCAGAAGGTAGTGTTCCTATGAACCGAACTGAAACCGAACTTTGGTCAAGTTCAGGTTCAGGTTCAGTTCAATCATGTTCAA